ACTGTTATTAGCATCGGAATCACTATCCTGCAGATTAAAACAGTTGCGACATATAAATAGTTTATCGTCGTTAGGTATATGCTAGCTATGCTTCATAGGAATATTCGTGATAATAAAGACTACAATCATCGCATTCTAATTTATTCGATGGAATATCATTTGAACCAATAGAACAGTTGACTTTTTTTGAATTATTTTTGTTGCCACACTGGTTTTTGGTTAATTGTTCTTCTTATTTCCGTTTCCTTTCTTGTTTTTGTTTTTCCTGCTCTTCTTTTAAATCCTCCCTTTTTCGTAACATTTCGTGCATATGTAATAGCAAAAGAAAGTCGTTCCGTGTTACGTTTATTTTTTCTTTCCGGTACAGTAGAAGAAGTTAAAAACCATTGGGTTATCCGAATGTTTTGGATCATGTTCAAAAAAATTCCAAATTTTGAACAACAAATTCAAATTATCGTAACTAGGTAGATTATTCTTTGGATTTCCTTTTAAATTTACAAAAGTATTATATCTTGGGTTTCTTTCGATGATCTGGAATGATTAAATTTTTTACTACTTCTTTACCTACCTAAACATTTTGTGTAATCTGCTTTAAATGGAAACAATCCGCAAACCTTAAAACCATTTACTACTGTTTTAGTTTTACAGCTTTTTTTTGTAGCTTGCTCCAATATAGAAGCAAATGCAACTTTATTCACTACCCCTCCTAGATGCTGTTCTTCCCATTCTGTCACTGACTGCCGTTTAGGATAAAGTGCAATTACTTAAATCTGCAGTTCATTACACAATAGACTTAATTGGTAACTTAGGTGACTCTTGTGTCCATTTACTAAAAGAGTAACTGAAAGCTTAATAATATTTTCAATTAGGTCAGGGTAAAATCATTCGCAATATACTGATAGAATGTCTCTGCCATCATCCAACCATTAGGGTTTCTGCCTACACCCCATTTAGGACAACTTTTTCTGGAATACGCTGATAAGGATAAATAACCATAGACCCGCAAATTTTACCGTCTGCTGAAAACGTAAACAGCACAGTGACGTTTTCTTTTGAACAGCTTTTTTCAACATTATAAATTTTTTTTGAACCTTTAGGTAGAAACTTCAGTTAGAACTTCTTATAGAAGCTTTTCTTTAACATAGTTTTCCATATTTTTAAACCAGTTTTTGATGCCTCGTTCAGATATACAGCGCTAGCTGCCGTCACATCTTCACTTGTCCTTTTAGAAACCTCTGGATGTCGCTTTAAAAATCCCTAAAAAAAAAATCAAACGATAAATACCCATTAAAATACATTTTTTGGTGATTTATTTTTTATCATCCGCCACCAGGTCGATTATTTTTAAAGTTATTGGGACGCGGATTTTGGGTTAAAAATTTTTGCATGGTGCTTTTTAAATCGTTAACCTTTTTGGGGAAACTTTTTGGAACGGTTCCTTGTATCCATCTGGAATATTGATTATAAAATCAAATAATGCTACCAATTAACATAAATTTAATAAAAGTACCGAACCAGAATATTCTCCTTCTCGCAAGTTAAAATAGGAGACGGTCCAAGTGTAACTTTATGTTCCGGATGTTTTAATTTAAATTCTACAGTGGACTTCGGAATTCCATATATTTCTTTTCAGCTGTTATATACGATTCAGTGGCATTTTGGACATCCAAAAGTTAATCTTATCGTATTTAGTAATTTAGTGATTGGACGGTCAAATTTAGTTATTGGACAGCTGTCCAATAACTGTCAAATCGACTACTAAATTAATTTTACTGCTGTCTCCAGTTAATTATACGTAAACCTGTTGAAAGTTGTAGAAATATGTGGTAAGTATAGTTATCTAGTGATTGGATAGTTGTCTCATAATAGAATTCAGCAAGTTTTCGAGTTTGGTTATTGGGCAGGGCTAATTAAATCCGAATTAAAATCCCTATTACTGTACGAGATCTCGCTTAGGGACTATATGTGCCTTTATTACACCCTTTTAAATAAAAATACAAGCTTACCTGAAAAATAGCACGTAGTTTGGAAAAAAAGTCAGAGCAGATGCATAACACAATGCTTAATTGTCACTTCACTCACATAACCTAAAAATATTTACGGCCAAAATCACAGAACCCGTTAAAGGCAGAACATATATGTACGTAATATAGAAACCAGTAGTGCCACCTAGTGAAATATAATCTTGCTAGCACTTACAGAAATCTTATAATCGTAAGTTAACACTGTAATATTCAATAACTGTCTCGTGTCCAATAACTGGCATTTTACCCTACATGCATGTAACATCCTTCTCAATTTCTGATTGTACATATTATAGTTGTACATATCATTGTATAGTTTTTATTTTTCATTCATTGTCCTGAGACATATTTATCGCACATTGGTGACATACAATAATTGTGGTGTGGATAGACAAATTATAGAATAATTATACAACGATTATAAAATTAAACTTAAAAACACAGTTGACATCAAATAACAAATATAAAATATTTTTTATTTCAAGTCCTTTATAAAAGGTATAGAATATAATATGGTAAAATATAAAACGGTGCGTTTTTATGAGATTTGTCCCTCTTAGTAATTTTTTTTGATCCGTCTATCGCTCCAATGAATATGAACGACTTCAATAACTGTTCCGCATATCAAATGAATCTTTTATGGTAAATTAATAACCCCGCACTCACTTTACCTACTAATTAAACAAGCGGACGAGTTCTTCTCGTTAGTCTTTACTTCACTGTTAATAGATTATCAGTAATAGTTTTCTGTGGTTGCCGCCTTTATTGGATAAGAGCTTAATTTTTTTAATGTTTTTAACACGTAACTACGAATAAAGGAATATCGTTTGCAGTATCGTATTTAAATGTGTAGATATTTATTTTTTAGTTATCTAAATGAAACTTCATTAAAAGGCGTTTAAAATTAGGGTATACAGGGTATAACAAAAAGGTAGGTCATAAATTAAATCGCGTAGTCTGGGACCAAAAATAGTTCTATTGAACCTAACTGACCTTAAATGTGCACATAAAAAAAGTTATAGCCTTTTGTTAGTTACAAAATAAAAGTCGTTTTTTTTTCAATATGTTGAAACGTGTTAGAGATTTTATATTGAAAATGGACATGTGGGTTTCATATGTCAGAAATATCTTTAAAAAAGTAACATTGAAATTTGTACAGCCCATAAAAAATTGATGAGAGTTTAGTTCCCTTAACCCTCTAATGCATCAATTTTTGTTCGACCTGAAAATTTCATGAAAGTTTGATTTTGCACTTACGAATACAAATGCACTGAGGCAAAAATTGATATTACTGCCAGGTGTACCTCTAAAACGAAAAAGCAGACATCCGGCTTAAGGCGGACTTGTGCAGTAAACATACGTTAAGGTAACAGCATTTATTTTTTTTTTAATTATCAAACTAAGCAAATAAAAACATATTGAAATTATTGTTTATTATCAAAATCATAAAAACATGATTTCGTGGTTGATTATCGACATAAAGATAGAATATTTCATTTTAGAAATTTGCACTGTTTTTTTACCAGTATGTTCCCGAAATATACACCAGTGGCCTATTTTATCGTAAGGGATGTCCTCCGTCGGAAGATATGCTCTCTTTGGTGCTCTTGCAGTGGTTTTAGGTGAACAATTCTAAGGTCGGCTAACAGATCGTTTGACTGAAGCCATGCCACACACACAGAGCGATTTAGCTACTTGTGTTTTAAACACTGGCAACTCAATTTTTTCTTTTTGGGGATGAATCCTGTGAGACAGTAGGCAAGCGTTGATCACCGCCACATCTATGAGGTGGTAAAAAATACGATTATTTCATTTTCTGTTGTTCATATGAATCGATACCGACCTAATAGTCTTTCCATAAAATCAACACCTCCCATATGCCGATTTTATTCTTTGATGATCTGTGGGCAATCGATTTCATCGTGAACTCTTTTTTTTTTGTCCCACCTTTAAATTTTTTGGGATTGTACGCTATTATTTTTGGATGCAAATAGTTTCACGCCAACATAAGTTGACAAAAGTCGCACATATTTTGTATCGTTCCACAATACAGAGGTAATATACCATATGCGTTACCAACAAATTCTTCTAAATAGCCACGGACAACTTTCTTCTGTTGCAATCTGCGTCGGTCAATAATTTGCAATTGGGTACTCTGTTTCTTCTCACTGTTCCCGAGCTGTATATTCCTCTACTTCAGAGATAGATGAACACACCCAAAGACGTATAGAAATTGTCAAAGTATAAAATGTTATTTATGAAATTTGAAATGTGCTTTGATAAGCGAACATTCGAGGCAACCCCAAAATCTGTAATGTCGTCCAAGATTATGTTGTCTCCTGCACTAGTGTAAATTCCGAATGAATACGAGAATCCAGAATTGCCAGAAGGCCAAAAATCTCCACTTATTTGGCTTATTATATATTGTCAGAGTCACTTTCAGTGATCTTTGTAGAGCACATTTGTTCATCTACGCACAACCTAGAAGGCATAGAGACTTTTATAAACTTGTCATTGAAATCTTTCACTAGCAGACGAACTTTATGCAGAGGATCGTATCCAGAGTTATCCTTTTCCACAGCTACTGAGTTGTCATTACAGTGTAGGTACTGGCATATGGATTTAAACCGAAGCAAAGGCATAGTCTGATGGATTGGCTCAAACGGGTGTTTTCCCCAGTATGATCCGACATTTGGATAGCGATAAACAGACATATATAAAAGAATGCCAACAAATTTTCGAATATCGTCGGACTGGATGCTGAAATTTGTTTGTATATCATTTTGCCGAGCGTACAAGTTTGTTTGCTTCACTAGATAATAAACCATTGTGTCGTCAAGAAAATAAAGAAAACATTCGTATGGAATGGCTAATTTCTTAATTTATTCTGAAAACTAATTTTGGCCTCGAAATACCATTTAGGTACATGAAGTTAAATGTGTTTACTTTCCCAAACAATAGATTTAAATTTGCTAGGATCAGTTTTCATGGCAACAACATCACCTCTTACACCACGAACTGCTACCACTAGACCACCATCTTCTTCCGTTAATTCTGGCGTTCGAGGACATTTCTGTCGCCGAAAAGTTTGTGAGGCTCCCTGCACTGGAATTTCCCCAGATACACTTGGTACTTGAGACACCTTTGATACCCCAAGTTGACTTGTACTGGCTTGCTCTTGAACTATCTCGGCAATTGCTGAAGCTGCACTATCCTATTCCATTTTATCAGCGCTTAAATCAGCAACATCCTCAGCAACAGGATCATCTAAACTATCATTACCATCAGAATCATAGTCACTCTCAACATCTGTTGCTTCAGCGACAGCAGCAGGTATATGATCCAACATCTCCCAGATTTCTGTAACAGTCATTTCAGACAGTCTGAAACCCCTTTGTGCCACATCTGAAAAGAAAAATGTACTGTACCACATCTCTCAACGCTTTAGTAATAAGTTATCAAATAAATTTTTACTACGCCAGAATGCACCAGTCATGCACACACATACACAAGTATGGAAAATGAGGCATAACAAAAATATCGAAATTGATTCAACTCAAATCAGATAAAAAAATGTGTAATAGAGGTATTTAACTACTCACCTATAATTATTTCTGCTCCACTTAGCGTTCCACAAACAAGTACTTATTTGACTAAAAATGTATATTTGCGCCAAATAACCGCCTTGGCTGCGCTGTGACAGATATGAAACTACTGACATCGCTATCATATAAAACAAGCCATCCACGAAACAGTTTTAAATAGGTGTGTTACCAGAATTTCGCCCGTTCATATTAATATGACTTTGATCAAAGTCCGCCTCAAGGCGGTTGTATGCATTAGAGGGTTAAAACCCCCAAATGTTTGTATACGTACCAATTAAGTACCAATTAATTAACAGTTTTTATCAAGATACGACTTCCTTTTTACACTTTTACATATTACTACCAGGTCTTTATAATCTTACTTAACCATTTAGAAATACGTGGTGGATTTTACAAATGTTCAAAATGGCCTCCATTTTCTTAAATACATTTTCTTAAATACACACATTTGGTAACGACATCTAGGGCCCCGATAGACAAGCCACACGCAATGAAGGTAAAATGAGAGCTCAAAACTTTAAAACTCCAATTGACAGAAACCTAATACTCCCCCCTTTCACTTGCGAAGAAGCCACTATAGCTCTCAAGTAAAGCCCCAGGTTTTGACCATAGTCATCCCGAATTTTTAATTAAATAATTATTTTAATTAAACTTAAAATAAGTATATTGACGTTTTAATTTCCGGCAAGTTTTGAATCTGCATTCCGACTGAGCATGAACATTAGCCAAGACCAGAACCATTAGTTAATTTTCAATTCTTCTTCTTTTCGAGCAGCTGTAACGTCTTCTTTTCAAGCGTCTGTCATGTCAATTCTCCTTCTTTTTCGTAGCTAATTCGTCGCGATAACCTCATAGTTTGTCCCCTCTTCTTTGTGATTAATATTTTTTTTGTCAATACCATTCTATATTCTGTTCTATGAGGAAAGAATTCATTGCCTTTTTTATTTCTTGTTCCTTATTAAATTTTTTCATTTAAAATGTTCTTGGGATTGTTATTTATATCATTTAAATATAAACATTACAAAAATATCATAATTATAATGTCTTAAAATATCTCAAAACAATAAATTGGTTATAAAATCCTTTTCTTGCAAAAAACTGACAGAAACTTTAACATAAACTGGTGCTCTTTAGACAAATATAAACGAAAGCAATTTCAAGTCTTGTTTTTTAGGAAACCCCCTTACAAGTTCGGCTCTGTGGGTGGGACGTTTCATAAGCATCTATTAACCATTATTAGGCAATTTTATTCATTAAAACTCGACCTATAATGGAATAATCGATGAGATCTGATACGAGATAAAGCCACAGTGATATTTTATTGATGAAGTTCTGGAAAAAAATCGGACCGTTTAGATATACGGGCGAACAAAGACGTAACCGGCAACAGGGACTGTTAGTATTATCTTTTGAAGATCAGAATAGTTTTTTGGAGGAATACTTGAGTACATTTTTAAAGTCGGTTAAATACAATGTCTCATTATTTTTGGGCAATTTTAAAATTTTCATCTAAATCGAGATTTTTTACATTTAAGTTTTTTGTAAATTTTTAGTTGACTTGTTCAATTGTTAAGATATTGCCGTTAGTTATATCTTTCCATAATACAGGTATGAATAGTATTTCCTCAATTAATTACCAAAAATTAGAAAAGTATTAACAATAGTCTTGACAATATTCAAACATAAATAATATAATTGATGGATTCGACCGTTACTTGATGGAAATTAATTTTATGTAACAATAAAACACTGAAAATTTTGTTTTTAAACTTCCACAAAATTTATTTTAACTCTTATCACTACAGCTGTTTCGGCTGATTGCCTTTCTCAAGTGATCTATTTTTGGCATACGTTTACACTTTATAGTCTCTAATGAAATAGGTTGAGGAGGGGAGAACTGTTTGTCTCAAGTTGGTCATTCAGAATTATATCTGTGTTTCTTAATTTGTTGATTTCCATAGATTCTAACAAAGATAGCTTAAGGCCTTTATTTTGAATGTGAAGAATTTTAAATTTGTCATTAAAAGAATGATTATGATCTAGAAGGTGAAGTGCGTATGTAGAATCTGTTTTTCTTTAATTGAAAGCCCTTTTATGTTCTGCTAATCGTTTATTAAAGTTTCTACCAGTTTGACCGATGTAAGTTTTTGGGCAGTCGCCACATTTAAGTTTGTACACACCAATATGTAAGAGTTTTTTATTTCAGCTCTTGTTGTTTTTAATATATTTGCCTAGGATATTATTTGTTCGGACATCTGGTGTTATTCCTTTCTTGATATTTTGCCTGTATATGTAATCGAGCAGAAGGTAATGGGTTTTTTCTCTGGTGGTGAAAATACTAATTTCAGAGCTTTCTTGTGTAGTTTTTGATTTAACATTTTATTGATTGTTTGTTCGTTGTATTCGTTGTTTACTGCTATTTGCTTAATTATATTTAATTCGGTCTCAAAGTTGTATTTTGACATCGGAATTTTTGTTAATCTATGTAACATACTATGATATGCTGCCAGTTTATGTTGTGTTGGATGGGATGATGAATTGTGTATAGTCGTGTCAGTATGGGCAGGTTTATGAAATATGGAGAAGTCATGTTTGATTTTAAGTCTGATAATTTTTAAACCTAAAAAAGTTATGCATTGATTGTGTTCTGTTTCTATTGTAAATTCAATATGACTATGAAGTGAGTTAATATACGATAAAAATTGGTCGAGTTGCCTGTTAGTCCCTGTGAAGCATACTAGTACGATGTCTACGTATCTTTTTGAAAACAAAGTATGTATGGCTGAAATTCGGACATGCATCCTTCCCTTAGCACGTCTAGAAAATCGGTGCAGTCAACACCGAACTTTGTGAGACCTACAATATGGTTTACGACTAAGATCACATTTTTTACACATGAAGTAAATTTAAAATACAAAGAAGGAGCTTATTAATAGTTTATTATTGCAAAACTTATACTCCCCTTTCAATATACTTCATTTGCTATCGTTAAATATGTATAAGGTGTATATCTTAAGTTTATTAAAATATGTATCTTAAAACTTTGATGTAGGTGTTAAGCTCGTTACCTTTGTTGAGCCATCAAGTGTTTTACCTTTTTATCCATACTTACCGTGATTCACCCTTTCTGTCTATGAGTTACCTTGAATGACCCCTAGGTACGAAAAGTAATCCTAGTTCCCCTCCCATCGGAGTTCTTCTTTTAATATTTCCATTACAGTAGTGTAGTTAGTTTAGTAATAGGTTAAGTTAGGTGAACGTTTTTACATTTTTGCTGTTGGCTGGTTGTGCAATTAAACTCGATTACCTTCCATTCTTAATAGATAGTTTCCGTATGATTTTTTTTTAAATTAAAGCAAAATTTAATGTAAAATCGTTGCTTTTCGTTGGAAAATGCGGTACACGGCAAATTCTTGAAGACTTTCCAATTTGTATTGGGTTCTGAAACAGGGTGACACAAAAGTACAAACTAAGTCTAGATAGTTCTGAGACAGCAGTTGGAGACCTTCAAAATGTGGACTTTTCGAAGAATGTTCCGCATACCACAAATAAAGTAAGAAGCGGGGATGTCTCCATAATAGCCAGAACCCTAAAGACTGGAATGAGAGTCTAGTAATACTCTTACACAAAAAAGGGGACAAATGTGATCTACAGAATTATAGACCTATATCGTTGCTCAGTCAAGTATACAAACTATTTATGAGAATTAATAATAACCGGTTAACCTACAAAATGGATAATTACCAACCGGTTGAACAGGCTGGCTTCCGCAAAGGATATAGTACATCAGACCATCTGCTGACAATGAGAACATTGATAGAGAAGGCAAATGAATACCAACTACCCGTATTTCTTGCCTTCGTCGACTATGAAAAGGCGTTTGATAGTATCGTGATGTGGGCCATAGAACAAGCTATTAATAATTGTAGAATAGACTCGAGATATAGGCAACTAATTCGTAATATATATGAAAATGCAACTATGATAGTACAACTAGACGAAAATACAAATCCCATCCCCATTAAGAGAGGAGTGAGACAAGGAGACGTAATATCGCCAAAGCTTTTCAACCTAGCCCTAGAAGACGTCTTCAAAACTACAAATTGGTCAACCTGTGGCATTAACGTTAATGGCAATAAGTTAAACCACCTCAGATTCGCTGACGACCTAGTGATTATAGCGAGCACATTCGAGGAACTGCAAATTATGTTGGGGAAACTAGCAGCCAGCTCCCAATACGTCGGCCTAAAAATGAATATGAAAAAAACAAAAATAATGACAAACACAGAAGACCCCAGACATATAACTATAAATGGCAGTGAGGTAGAACAAATCCAGAAATATATCTACCTAGGCCAAATCCTGAGACTTGAAAAAGAGAACCAAAGTGCGGAAATTACTAGAAGAGCAAGCCTAGCGTGGGCAGGATTTGGAAAAGTTGGATACTTAAGAACAGCAAAATACCCCAATACTTGAGGAGCAAAGTGTTTATGCATCCTTCCTATCATGACATATGGATGTCAAACCTGGGC